ATTCTCGAAAGATGACCTTCATTGAATAAACGAGCTAACCTCCTCCCTCAATTCCCTGTCAATCTTCGGTTTTGTGACCATTGGGTTCCATGGTAATTTGCATATTTGATTAGGGTTTTTTTGAGCCGGGTTGGACCATAGGGGTCTGGGCCATCTAGTATCTTTGATCCTTCCAATGGCTGATACAATACCCGATGCATCGACGTTGAAGTTGTATTCTGATAATCGTGGCGCTTCCTTGGGCTCGACATGTTTATTGAAGCCACTCTTACTCATGAGCCCTCGGGAGTTTTGTCCTCGCTCATTCCTCCGATCATTTCGAATGGGATTACGTCCTGGTCCACCGTTATTACGATATGCGTTGTATGGTTGGTACCGATCTCTGTTTGATCGGGGCTCTCTGTAGATGCCTTTGAATCCTGTCATCGAATCTATTTGGATAAACGGAACCAGAAGGGGCTACTAACTGAGCATCCTCAACTCTGATCTTTGACTGGTATCGATTATGTACATTGGCCCTGGTCACAGCAGGATATTCAATCAAATTCTATTTAAGTTGTCGTGATGCTGTCGAACTTCGCTCATTCAAACCTTGAGTGAAGGCTTGGATAGCCCAATCATCGGTGACCGGGGGTAGGTCCATGCGTTCCATCTGGAACCGATATACGAATTCCCTTAGCATTTCGTTGTCCTTTTGTCTCACTTTGAAGAGGTCCGATTTCCTAGTCGCGACCTTTATTGCTCCGGCGTGTGCCTTTACGAACGAATCAACAAGCATGGCGAAGAAATCGATGGAATTGGGCGGCAAATTATGGTACCATATCATTGCCCCCTTCGATAAAGTTTCTCCAAATTTTTTAAATAGAACAGATTCAATTTCATCATCTTCTAAGTCATTTCCTTTTATTGCGCATGTATAAGAAGTGACATGCTCATTAGGATCAGTGGTTCCATTGTACTTGGGAATTTCTGGCATGCGGAATTTCTTCGGAATGGGCTTCGGAGCCGCACTTGGTGGGAAAGGCTTCTGTACAAACTTCTTCGAATCCAAACCCTTTAAAATTGGGGGTGCCCCCGGTATTTGATTAACCCGTGAGTTGTATATTTCTACCTTTTTATCGTTAGCCTCAATTTTCTTTTCTCCTGATTCGATCCTTTTAGTGAGCTTCTCGAGCATTTTCATGATGGCGGGGTCAGTTCTCGATCCGTTATCGTTCAATCTTTCCGGTATAGGCTCGACCCTGTGAATAACTTCCTGTGATGCATCGAGTTCGATTCTGCTTAGTGCTCGATTCTGATTTTGGAGTTGCACTATCGCAGCTTGCTGAGTCTGCAACATTTCAAATATCATTCGAAGGCTAATCCCGCCTTCTTCACCACTCTGTGCATTTTGATCGGCTGCTCGGGCGTCTCCGCGGACGCTATTTTCGGGGTCGCACCTAAATTTCCATGAATTGCAACACGAGAATTGATATCGACTGGATCTCCTGTGGTCCATCGGGATTAATTGGAGGTACTCCGTTTCCCGGGATGACTATGTGCTCGTTCTCGGCATGAAGACCAAGGCCGGTGTATGTGTGAGTGGGCACTGCTTGAGAGTTCGACATGTTGATTCTTGTAATCAAAGACACTTACGAGAACAAGCGTAAAAGCAGTGTGTGTTATGAGGATTAATACTAGGCAATCACTATTATCCTTAGCCCCACGGTGGGCGCCAAACTGTTTACCCTAAAAATTGGATAACAATTAAATTTATAATGTGGTTTTAAGGATACGTGACTTCACCTAATACCAATTGAAAGACGTAAAGATAAGTAATGGAAATTGATAATGATGTAAAGCAAACAAATGTTTGAACAGAGCCCTCGAGTTGGAATACCCTCGAGCCAATAGAGCAAGAACAGTTAAAAAGTAGCAAACTGATAAACAGGAGAATGTAAATTAAAGAGAGAATATTATATCGCTTGATCTGTATGAATGTGAGGTCCTTACAAAATGATCAGAACCCTATTTATATAGTAGAGGAATCCTATCTATGGTACAATTCTAATTACGGAAGTAAATCTCATGATTGGCAAAAATAACCGCCCTTGATTTGATCTGTTCTAGGATTTCCACCGTGATCTTCGACCGGTTACGGATATCTCGCCTTTTTGTTATTGCGCTTCGTTCGAAGTCTGTCATATTTGGTCTCGATCTTTGTTGGCCTCGAACTCGGTGACCACCTCGATTCTCGAGCTTGATACCTTATCTTTGTGCCCTGGCCTGATCCATTACGAGTTTGACCCTCGACATGATTCCCTGGTCTCGATTAAATGGCAAAATCGGGCAAACCCTATTTTAGTCGTACACACTTACATAACATCATAACTAAAATTATATACATCAGTTTTGCTTTATAAGAAGGAAATATGTTCATCCAACAAAATAAAAAAACGTAAATAAACTTCAAGTCAAACTCATTTCTATTGGGACCAGGAATAGCACAACTATACCTAAATTGGGTTCAAAGAGAAAGCTTAATCTTTCAGCAAGAGCGTATGATTGGTAAAAAAGGTAGTCCTTTTTTCATCTTGGGTGTCTTAGGTAAAGAAGTTTAAAACCTTGAATTATTTTAGCATCTGTTGAGGAAAGATATAGGGTCATTACATGCAAGCCTTTTGGTAGTGTTAAAATAAAGCATAGGCATTCACCAATATATGGACGCAAGCCAAAGAGACCTACGGAAGACTGAAATCAACAAGACTTGGTTCAGTCGCTAGTGTTCTTTCTATTTCCGCTTACTTTTTCATATTTTTGTGATATGTCTCTTACTTTGGCACTCTTTGAAAACGTTAGTACTATACGAGTCTTCTTGCTTTCCCATTATTTCTTCCTTGATCCTCAATTTTTCTTTCCTGTAAACTAATTTTCAAAACACGATGATGACATGTATTGCCAGAATGTAACATATCTACCACGCTTTTTTCACGTTTCAGACGGTACGCACGTCAAGGAAATGGAAAGATCCTAACAAATCATCACCAAATGCCAAGAATCCAAGTTTGCAGAGACTAAAAAAAAGACAACCATATGATGTCTCAGAAAGGGAAAACTAAGAAATGTTAAGGCATTATCACCACAAAAGAAATTTTCCTACTATCCCCACAATTTAATCAAGACTTGTCCAGATGACAAAAAACAACCCCCCACAACCTTTCTTTTGGACACTTCTTATGAGTTCACCACGAACTCCATCTTCAAGCTGATGACTGTTTGGTATAGAAGCGGATGCCAAAAGCAACACCCAAAATAATCAGGGGAACTAAGAATTGGAGGAGCTTGACGACAAACTCTGATGTTTTGTCCTGGTTGTAATGAGGCTGATTGGGAGGAGTATACTTGGTCTTGGTAGGGATGGTTGCTGAATCAATATCACCTACATAATACTCATCCAACATCGCTCGAGCACTGCTGCTGTGGCCAACGTCCTCAAAATCATCGGTTGCATCCTTTCCTGCACAAAGAACCAGGAACACGATCACCACTGTCTCCTAATGATGGATTACAGTTCTTTATGTCAAGGTTGTCTAATAATACTTGGAAGATGGCAAAATATAGAAGTGATTGATATTTGTCTATAAAACTCTAATTCTGTTTTGCATATAGGTCATTACGTATAAGATTTCAGAAACGACTTAGATATCAAATCAGTAACACTTCATCTGGATGTAAAAAAAGTTTCAAAAAATTTAACGTTCTGGTAAATTTGCAGTAAGATAAAGGAAAACGAAGTCATTTCTTGCATGCTACTGAAAGGAAAGTTAATATAAGAAAGCATTTTCCCTCAAGTTTCCTATTATTTCGCTTTGACTTAATTTGGAGGGAAGTATTTATTACTCTTCCCCACAGCTATCCTGTTACCAAGGTGCAAAAATATTAACTTTCTGGTGCTTTCCTTTTCTTTCCATAGAAACCAAAAGCACCAAAATTTTAGTTGCAGGAAAGAATATGTCAAAATATATTACCAGTTGCAGACAACAAAACCTCATCACCTCCTGGGTGGTCATCCAAGAATTTTGTCACATCATATACCTGTTAAACGGCAGACAGAAAATTTTAAAAGAATACAAGAAACAAAGAGAAAAAAAAAGATTAGTAAAAGTAGAGCAACACGAAATACAAGGCGCAGTTGATGTCAAGTACTGAAAACAATGCAACAGTTTGTTGCTCCCCGAAAGGCCATTTCAACAACAAAGTATAGAGTTCAAATGACATCAGGTTGACAAAGCTATTATTGGCAATCAGATGTTTTCTTACTGCTTATAAGGTCTGCACTCTACAAATACTCTATACAGCTACAACAGAAACATATGATATCCTGAACAGAGGAAGATTTCAACATGTGGATGGAGTTGCTAAAAACGCTACCTTCTAGCGACTCCATCTTCTCCATTAAAACTGAGTTAACTAGTCTTTAGTTCCAAAGTAACCCCACTTCACATTTTTTGCAATATGACTAGCTTCAACCAAACCAAAAGAGTAGTATCACCTAAGGCATTAGCTTGGGCTATTTCGCATAGATCGGAAGTCAAGAAGCTGCAAGACATAGCTCTGGGAAACAAGCAATCAAATTCAAATTTAAAAAATATCCAAGTTCAAGCTCAAGAATGAAGGATAAATCAAAGTTCAAAGAGTACGAGATCAAATCATTTGTTCGTGCTAATTGAATTTAATTTCTAGAATAATTTAAAATAAGGGAGTCTCCTCTAATTCTTCTTACAATCTCTACAATATCTTAAATGAGTAAATCTAGGGATTCTCCTCTAATTCTTCTTAGCTATTGACTCAAGGGTTTGATAGCTAAATCTTGACTTTGATGGATTTGGAATATAATTCAAGTGCTTGTATGTTTGATACTGATTTATAATCTTGAGTTTGAGCTAAGAGCTTGAGAGCCTGATCTTGAACTTGTATTATCCGCCACGAACAATTTGATAGTCATCACACACAAGGATTTGAGTTCAACTACACCAAAAACGGATGATTTTGAACTCACACGCTTTGAATCTTGATTTGAACTTATTTCCTGAGCTTGAACTTGAACTTGAACTTGGATGTTTGATCTTAAACTTGAATTCGATTGCTTAAGTATTTGTTTTTCTCAACTCTCTTTTATTTTTAAGTCTATTGATATTCTTATTGTTGTCTTCGGAAGCCTTGCTCCCTTTTTGTACCTTCTTCAGACTTCTAATCCGGTTTTGGGTTATGGAGGACCCCTATTTATAGTTGTGAAAAAGAGTTATGATAATGAAGACAAACGCTTTTGCTTCAATTTGATTAGCTAACATGGGTTATCCGACTAATTAGATTTAAGCAGTGATAAGACCACATTAGATTGGCTAGAAAATGTCACTTGTACATGTGGCATGTTCTTATTGGCCTTTTTAAATTGACTTGGCATGTCACGTCATTTAGCATGCGACGTGATCCTACTTGTTCCTTCATTGACTTGACGTCGCCAGGTGACTAGACATGTGGCACAAATTTAGGCTGTTAGGATAAGATAACATTTGATAGACCTTGGACTAATAAAGTGGTTTTATCATTCGCACCCCAATTCGATGGAATAGCCAAACAAAATTAGACTTTTAATTAAATTCATAAACATCAAATTCAAATTATTAATTCAATTATATTAGTCCATACTCCCTCCGTTTCAATTTAGATGAGGTAGTTTGATTTGGCTTTTCAATGTATAGAAGTAAAATCCTATTTGATAAGACAAATTTTATTCTAAACACCAAGATGGTGAGAGCTAAAAATTAACCTTGGATGACAACTACAATTTTGATGTTTGGCAAACGACATGATTTAGACTTCTTTTGATGACAAACCTCTTATTTAGAAGAAACGAAATCTTCATTAGTATACCAAGACAATATCAAAAATAAGTATAAGATGTCTATTACAATTCAAACACGTCATCCATTGGCACATATCAAATTTGCCAGTTCTTCACACATACCATTAACACCAAAAGTACAAGTAAACCAAGAACGATCTTTTAATACTTTCGACATCGTTATAATTATCGAGGTACTATCTTCTATTTCTTTTATTCCATAAAAACCAATGAGAGACATGCAGGTTCTGTTATTTGAAGATATATAACTTTGGGTACATAGCGTTGACTTTGAAGTCATGATTTAGTCATAGCAGCGGTGGATCTACTATATCGGCAGCAGGTGCAAGCTCACCCGATGCCTTCTGATCAATATAGATATATATAGTACTAGAAACTTTTTGAAAACTACATATTCACTTCAAGTATGAATCTGGTCCCACAAAGAAGTAGTGAATGCAATGTGTACCCTGCATTCCACTGAATTAAAATACTGGAGTTACTTCCGGACAGGGGAATTTAGAGTATGAATGTGGCAATGTTTGATACAATATACTACTACTATTTACCAATGATGTCTCAAAAGTAAAGACCAAAACTTTATACTCACTGAATTATACTCGTGCAATTCATGATGGAAAGGAACCTACAAATCGGCTCCTGGCATAGAGGAATCAGGAAAATATCCCATTTATTCATGAAACAAATAATGAAAGACTCAACAAACAAAAAAAATCAGATAAAAACATGAGATCACACCCCAACTCAAAGCCCCCATTGCCACCTCCCTAAACCACAATTAGAAGATGGGGCGTACGAAAATAGAAAGCATAACAGAAGCGACCAAAATTGAATCTTTAACACATACAACCGATCAAGTTAGAAACTTGTTTTGTTTTATCATTAAAATAGTATTTTCAGGATTGAATCTTAAACACACTGAGGAGATCAAGAGCAAGATCTAGGCAAATAAAGCATAAATAATGAACCGACCCACTAAATTAAATAAAATAGCAGAGATCAGGAAATAATTGATACCTTGCCACTAATAACCAACCAACAATCCTTGGCGTTGTTGTGCTGGGAGACCTCAGCCAAAGTAAAGACCTTAGTTTCACCCCCCATTATTCAACAAACAAGAAAGAAAGACTGTAGAGCAGAGATGAAACAAAGATCAAAATTGGCTTGATTTTGTCTCTTCAAGACCTGTGAAAAGGCTTGAAGAGATACAAGGCTGAGGGTGTCTCTTTTACGGAGGAAACGAGGCGTTTTGGTGAATGGGAGCAGAGTGGAAAAGGTTGTTGTTTTGTGTAATTAAAAGAGAGGTTAGAATTCAAGTTGCTGTCATGTGGGTTGGTGAGGGAGTGAAGAAAGTTGGGCCATCAATATCAAATACCAAAACAAAATATATACAGTAATTTTCATATACATACACCTTGTATGTAATTTATTCATTCCGCGAACTAAACAACATGTGCTCTAATTAATTGAACTATGAAAGTTTATTACTTTCTTGTTGCAGATCAAATAATTCAATTTACTATATATGGATTTGTTACAAAATTCAAATATAGCTAAAAATAATTTCTGAAAGTATAATCACAAAAATATAATATATCTATATTTATTGTGCCGCGTAATTTTTCCAAATATATATAATAGTTTGAGCTACGTTGGGTGTCCACACTCCACAGGACATTTCACTCCTCTTAGAGACTTGAGACCACAAGCAAACTTAGTACAAAGTTTATAATTGATATTTTTGCCAGTAAGCTTTTAATGATGTGACAGAGAGTACAGGACCATGGATATGTGTGGTATGGTACATAACTATTACCATTATGCCTCATTGTTGTAATCGCCAACGAGGATAAATGTAGATTCAATAGTTAGTAATTGACGTTGTAACAATTAAAATTTCATTTTTGAAATAATAATCAATACAAGAAATATAGCGACAAAAAAAAGTATTTGTATTTCAATAATTTACGCGGGTTACAATCTTTAAACAATCTTAAATTAAAAGACGTAATCCTCTTATTCTTCTCCTTACGATCGTCAGTTCGAGAGCTTCGCTTGTTCTTGAAGTGATGGACCACTTGTTGTTGGGATTTGGCCACAAATGCGGAGCTAGGCTTTGATCACAAATGTGGAGGATGGAAACTTGCAACTCACCCCTTAGACAACGATTTCTTGCTATGCGGAAGACTTGCGAATCACCACTAGAGAGGAGAGCTTCTCTATGTATTTTTCTTGTTCTTCATTTGGCCTTCTGGAGACTCTTATTTATAGTTGTAGGGGAGGGAACTTGTGATAAATACATATCTTTTTTCTCCAATTTGATTGGTCAACTTGAGCCATCAAACCTATCACTAAAGTTATGTGATAAGCTTGCATATAATTGGTTGAACCATGTCATTTAAATATTTGGCGACATTTAATTCATCCTTACATTTGACTTAGTATGCTACATCACTTATGCGCATGGCATGATTTTAGTGGTCCTTGATTTGACTTGTCTTGCCATGTCATTTGACAAATGACATGGACCTTGGGCTTATCATTTGAAGTACGACAAGATGGACTAGTCCAATTAACTTGAGCTCTTAATTAAATCCATATATGTATATTGGATTTAAATAATAAATTCAATTATACTATCCCAGAATCATTGTTTAGGCTAACACATATTTGAATTTAAAATACAGTCGAAATAATTTAATGGACTTAAACTCAATAAAATTCAATCGTCTACAAATACCCCACTTCAAGTTGTGTCGGTTTGTAGACTTTTTAAACTTTAACGGCGAGGCTTGAAGTAAACATTAACAAACTTTTATTTTGTCTACACCTCAAACTTGACTCCTCATAATCTCATTCCTATTTTGAAAATACTAGACCCATAAATAAATACAACCTTGTGAATTTGCAGCATATAGTATTTGGATTGAATTGACTTGGCATTTCGAATTCACCTTGCGATGTCCCAGCCCAATAACTTTAAAATTGGGCCGGTTTGTTATACAATCCAATTGTTAGTTCACCTAAAATTGAAGTGGAAAAAATTGCGTTCTTTTTCTTCCAATTAGTTCTCTCCCAGAAATTTTAGGCTCTATGCCAAGGACATTCCCTTTCTAGTTGAAATTGGAGAAAGAGAGTTGTGTTATTTCCAATTAGTCTACTTCTAGGACTTTACTTCTGCCCAAAAATTTTAGGACTAAAGCTTCTCAATCCCGAAGTTTGAATCCTTCTCAAAGAGTGATATCTCAACAAAATCAGTTGAGAACGAGTCAGACACTACCCTTAGTAGTCTATATAAGGACTCATTCTGATGCATTATCTTCGTACCAACTCTTTGAGCCTTTCCTTTCTTCATGTAAGTTCTCATGTACTGACCCCCTACTTTGAGATATGATACATTGTAGGGACTCATAACTCATGTATTTACTTGCCATCTAGATTACCAAGTCTTGACAAATATTAATAATACTTCATTGAACTTGATCGCAATCTATGTTACGGTTTGCCTCTTATCATGGCGCTCAAGAGGATAGACGTCTTCTATCGTTTAAAGTTCTGCTGTGGTGCTATGGACTTAGGCTTGCTTTCTTTGCATTTTTCCGTTGATCGTATAATTTATTATGCTCAATATTAAGCAAATCTTGCAGCTAACGTTGATCTTCCCTTATTGTCTTTGCGACAGAACTTTCCTGGCAGCTTGGAGCACTTGCAGGAGAAAATTTATAACTTGTCGTAGGAGCACCTGAATCTTAAAAAAATTGTGGTGCTAGAATGTAGACTCACGGAGCCTCAACATATCCAAAAATCATGGTCAAATAGCTCATAGATTTGTTCAGGTAATCTTTTCGAAATCAAATTCTTAGTTCGAATTCGCTGATGATTTCAGATTTTCGAGTCGTCACGAGAAACTTTATAAGTTTTTGTAGGAATACCGAAATCACGAACAATTTACGGCGTTGGAAAGTAGATTCGTGGAGATTCAACATACCTGGAAATCATGATCATACAGCTAATAGATTTATCCAGGTAATGTTCTGAAATTCAAAGTTGAGCCCAGATATATTGCATCTCCGGATTTGCGCGCTCACTAAATAGCTTGTATCTTGACGTAGGAAGCTCGAGATCAAGCACTTCTTGATCCTTTGAAGACGAAACTTCAGAGGCTACTTTTACGCCAAATATTAGGACTTCAATTCATTGTGTTCTGGTTCTATGATTTTTTAAAAGTTAGTTGCAGGATCTGAATTTTCTGTTTCGGTTTTGGACATGCTTCACGAATTTTAATCTTCTTCCTCAATTCCTTTCGTGCGGCGTATACAACCTTGACTTCCAGCAATCAAGATGCAATTTCGTGGCTATAAGAAGTCGCACCCTCATCTTGAAATCACGAGTGATGAGCAAAATTAGACCGATAAAGTTCTCACCTTGGAAGTTCATCCTCCAGTGATCGGTGCCTTCCCTCTTGTTAGAATGATGTCTGCCGCCTTTCTTCATCTTACAGAATGGTGGACGAGGGAGGCCAAAGATGTTACGGGCAACTTTTTGGGCAAGGTCACTAACATGAAGGTCCCTATTTTGAAGTCCGCAACTTATTGGGAAGTCTCGTCGTCCAAATTTTCTCATCGTGAAGGATGTTTCCATACTTGGAATGTTCCCCCTTCCGGCTTTGGCAAGGTTCGCTACACACCCGGCTACCAGGAGTGGGTAGAAGATGTGCTCCCCCGCCACAAAGACGTTCTGGAAGATGTGAAGGTCTACGATGCCATATACGCTTTATTTTTTACGTAAGACTATAATGATAATGTGCTTCAAGCCTTTTGTGAGCTTTTGCGCCTTTCCACCAACACACTTGCTACCTTCTTTGGAGAATTATCCATACCATTATGGGAATTACGAACCTTTGGAGGCCTTCCCGCGCATGGGTCCTTTTATGACGAAGTAGTTCCTTCGGCGAAGGAGTTGATAGAAATGGACCATCAAGCAAAGTCATTCCTCCCATAAAGCATTTTATACTTGTTTTCAGCGTTCCACATACTTGTGAAAAAGGGAATTTTACGAGGTCTCCGTCCATAATTGGGTAGAGTTCTGGTTTAGAGGGCCGAGTAGGTATGTTGAGCCTCCATAAATGGTGCCAAAGGTGCGGACCACCAAGCCAAGGCAGAATCATAATCCTTCCAGACGTATAGACAAAACCTTCCTACCACGAACAGACAAGAAGAATTCCCCCTTAATCGAGCTAGGTGTGGAGGAGGCTCTTATAAATGAGACTAACTTGGCGGCTTTCCATGCATGCTGGCTCTGCAGGTTTGTGCTTCCAAATAAGAAGATTGACCACGTTCGTGCTAGTATTTTCGAAGTTGCAAGCTTAATGGCTCATGGGGTAAAATTCTCTTTGGCAGTCTCGGACCTCGCGAGCATATATCGTGGCTTGAGGGAGATCTCCACTTCCATAGACCTGGTTGCAAGCGATGTAATTTTCCCCATACATTATGTGCATGGCTACATGAGAGAGTATTTTGAGACACATCATCGAGTTAATCACACGCACCGCAGTTTAACCTTATGCAAAATTTTAGGCAAGAAGATGGCCAAATATTTCAATCTTTCTGAAGATCGAAGGTTGTTCCAACGTGATGATGCCTATCAACTTCACCATTTGGCATTGCTGCAAGGCAAAGAGTTACACTTTACGGACAATGGCAAACTTTTAGACTCATTTAGTGAATTTTTTATATCACTTCGCTTTAGCTATCTCACCCTTAGGCATAATGCTACTTTTATCATGAAATCCTACATCCCTCACAGGTTTAGTAGGCAGTTTGGTTTTTGCCAAGACATTCCTGGAGATCTTATAGAGCAACCCTATTATGGTACGTCGCAAGCACTAGTGCAAATTTGGGACTCATCCAAATGTCTTGGCACCTCCTCGAAATTCATTGTGTTACTACATTCGGTAGATGATGTGCCTCTAATGACTCGTGAGTATGCAGGCTAGTGGCCAATACATCGACTAGATCCTTCAGAAAAGATCCCTCATATTGTTTTAAAAAATCCAAGGCAAGATCAGGTGCCTGTGCGATCCAAAGGGGTCCCGAGTCAACTGAAAGTGAAGCTACCTTCTTCTTCCAAGTTCGAGGCAAAGTCAAATGATCTTTCGCAAGCGGACCAAACCCTTCCAAAGTCCAAAGCCATGAAGGATGTCGATGCACCCGCGAACAAGAAAGCTAGTCGTCTTTCATTGGCCTCGCAGACAACTACTACTTCCCCCACGGTAACCATTGACACTTGCAAAAGGAAGGAGTTCCTAGTTTCGTCAAACAAGGGCAATGATAGAGTGCCCAGCC